GTCAGTTATATTGTTATCGCAAATTTTCAAATGTATATCGTGATAAATATTTTTGGTCATATCGCCCTGCCCTATATGTGATACCACAAAGATTTTCGGCATTTAAAGTTGCTGCTGTTTTAGATCGACTGTACAAAATTCATTTTATAACAGCATCTGTAAAAGCGCTCAGGCAGCCCTTCAAGGACGAGCATACCTGAGCAAAGAGACCAAACCATCTGCACCTTAATAATGAGTCAAACGCTCAAAAACAAACAAACAAAAACCTACACACAATTCATTAGTGGGGGTGCAAAACACCGCTAAATGTGAGCAACAAAGTGACTCATCTTTGGGGCAGCATTGGCTATATTTCAGTGATGTTTTTTAAATTCCACATTGTTTTGTCCACTCCTGCATGCTCAGCCGTGGGACACGTTTCTCTACCTCAGCCGTGCAGGGGTTAAGAAAACAGTGCAGAGTTTCAATGTTCCCAGGTTGGTACTTTGCAGTGAGGATGATTTAAAGTGTTCAACAATAATGTGTCTAAATGCAACCTCGTCCTGCAATAACATCCTCACCGTGGAGTCAGATACGAGGCGTTCGGAGGGCTGCTTTTTACCTCTGAAAGGATTTCATGTTTGCAGAAAGTTAAAGGAACAACCTGCAATCTCTGACCAGCGAGCAGACTCGCAGAGTCCTTTTATGAGGAGTCAGTCTATCAGAATCAGAAGGTGTTCTGATCCCTGCTGGAGCCTTGACACGTTTGTTTACTCGTGGATTACGGACTGCGCCTAAGCTGTGATGTACCTACTTGTTAAATAGGTGGTTGTCCACTTTGATCTTGCTGTAGGCTTTAAAGTCGTCTGGCATCAGCATCACTGGTACAGGCACATTACTTAACTCGTTAATCTGAAAGAGGGAAGTGAGAACGAGAGAGAGAGAGAAATGAGGAAAGAGCCTGAAGAAGAGTGCAAACAGCTGAACAAACAGACTGCACGATTACTGAGGAATAACACAAACCAAGGGAGCAATATTGGCTTTTGCAATTTTGATCTGAGCACAAAACCAAAAAAATAAAAGCAAAAAAAAAACAGACTCCTACACAAAGTACTCAGTGAGTAGTGCAGGTTAATTTATAGAACAAAGCCACGACTACCTGTAACACAGCTCAGTGTTTCAAAGCCGTTTCAAATCTCTGACAGTGATTAACTCGGGGACCAAAGAACACGCAGGCAGGTTTTCTTGCTGCTGCTGCGCCTCCAGACACTCGGCTCATTTACTGAAACTCATCCAGAGCAAAAGCGCAGCAATGAGCTCCGGAAAAAACCTTGCAAATCGCATAAATCACTTTATAGAGAGATGCAAAGGGACAGCACACAGTCACGGCGCTGCCGTTTAGAGGAAATAAGTTCTTCTCATACTGGAAGTAAACAACACAGTTGGGTATGCACAAATAATCAGCTGATACTGGCTCTGCTGATGATTATGGCACGTTAGACGCTGAAATTTGTTACCAATTTTGTGCTTCCTTAAAGTTCAAACGCTGCGATCAACGTTTTAAAGGTCGTCTAATTTTAGTTTTTCGTCACACAGAAAAAT